TCTTGGAAAAAAAAAGATCCTGAATTTTTTTTCTTTCTTTCGTATTTTTTTTTTTTTGTTGTTTTGTGCTAGTTGTTAGAATTATTTGATAGCGAAGATCCAAGAGAACGTGACTTTTTAAAGACGACATTGCACCGAATTTATGGAAAATTTCTAAATTTACGCGCATTTATCCGAAAATCGATTAACAACGTGTTCTTCCAATTTATATATGAAACAGAACGTCATAATGGTATTGCAGAATTATTAGAAATTCTTGGAAGGTAATATCTTTATGGACACGTATGTTTCTAATTATATTTAATTATTTATATAGGCTAATCATCGTGTCGCTATTTCTAGTATTATCAATGGTTTTGCATTACCATTAAAAACAGAACATAAAACATTCCTCACAAAGGTGTTGATACCTTTACATAAAGTCAAATCATTGACATTGTATCATCCACAATTAGCTTATTGTGTTGTGCAATTTCTAGAAAAAGATCCTTCATTGACAGAAGAAGTATGCATATTCCATTCCAAGTTCATATAAATTAAAATTAAACATTTATTTAATATCTCCCCATATTAAATATAAAAAAAATTAGGTCATTTGTGGCTTATTAAGATACTGGCCAAAGGTAAACAGTCCCAAAGAAGTAATGTTTTTGAATGAGATTGAGGAAATCTTGGATGTTATAGAACCACAAGAGTTTGTAAAAATTCAAGTACCATTATTTCAACAAATTGCACGATGTGTATCGAGCCCACATTTTCAGGTATTAGCTTTTAGCATTTCAAAAATTTATACGACGCAATATTATCTTAATTAACGTATTCTAACATGAAGGTTGCTGAAAGAGCGTTATATTATTGGAACAATGAGTACATTGTTAATCTGATAGGAGATAATGTAAATGTCATTTTACCAGTAATGTTTCCTCCTTTGTACCAAAATTCTAAAGCTCATTGGAATAGGTAATATATATATATATTTTTTTTTTGTTATCACAAATGTTTAATGTTTTCTGATTATTTAAAATTTCTCATGCATATGTTTATCTTATATTAAAGAACGATCCATGGTTTAGTATATAATGCGTTAAAGTTATTCATGGAAATTAATCCAGCACTATTCGATGAATGTACGGCACAATACAAAAAAAGCCGCCAAGAGTGAGTATAGTTTGTTTAAGGCATTTGATTAATATAAATTGTTAAAAATCGATGAAATTGCTTTATTTGACAGGGAAAAGAAACGAATGAGGGAACGAGAGGAAACATGGCATAGGTTAGAAAGAACAGCTGCACATAATGCTCAAGGTCTTCCGTTGCCTTATGCAATTGGTGGTCCTTTAACATCTTCAAGAACTAATGTAGCCAGTGAGTTAGGTAATTTTCATCCACCTTAATATTTTTAAAGTGGATATTTTGTCCATAGAATTTCTGATCCACTTACAACGTATTTGGTTTTGAAACCTTTACAGCAGACAACAATTCTGATGAAGAACCCGTAGAACCCAAAGGTGACGTACCAGAAGATAACGATGTGCACGGGGAAATGGTTTGCTTTCTAAAATTATATTATGTTTTTTTTTTTTTCCTTTATGTTGTCGTTCATTCTTATTGCATTTATTTTAGCAACCATTTGAAGGAGGTGGTGAATTCAATCAGTTTCGCCGTAAATCCATCATACCTGTTGATGAAAGTGTGTTGTCTGAACTATCTAGGCATCGTAGTTTGGACGACGTTCTTAACGGACCTCCTGCTCCTGACGGAAGTAACTTAAACAACTAGCACAAAACAACAAAAAAAAAAAAATACGAAAGAAAGAAAAAAAATTCAGGATCTTTTTTTTTCCAAGA